GGTTTAACGGAAATTACTTCAGTAGCAGTACATAAGACGGACTAGAGTAGTGTAAGATTTTAAACAGGAAAGCCAATTAAGAGGCTATTATAATAATTTAGGCAAAAAGTGATGGCATCTTTAAGGTGGTAGCTGTGTGAGTGGAAAGCAGGAGTCAGTTGTAAGAGATGCTGTGATATCAACTATCTCCACCTTTTATCATCTCTGACAGCATTTCTTATTAATAGTGATTTAGAACATTTTTTACACATAGTTGAGAGTTCACCTTTCTTCTTCTGTTTTTTTTTGTTTTTTTGTTTTTTTTTTTTTGGTTAGGCAATGGGGTTAAGTGACTTGCCCAGGGTCACACAGCTAGTAAGTGTTATGTGTCTGAGGCCGGATTTGAACTCAGGTCCTCCTGACTCCAAGGTCGGAGCTCTGCCCACTGTGCCACCTAGCTGCCCCTACCTTTCTTCTTTTGAACACCCTTCATATTCTTTACCCATTTTGCCTAATGGGGAATGGTTCTTGGGGCATGACCTGCCCTTGATAAAACCAGACTGGCTCTTTGTGAACACTGCTTCCTTTTCTAGATGGTCACTATCTTTCTTACATTTTACAGATTTTATTCTCAGGAATCAAAGTTAAACTTTAAGTCTATAATTTGCAGACTCTATTTTTGTCTTCTAAAAAACTGGTCTACCATTTGCCTTTTTCCAGTCCTGTAGCACCTCTCCTGTTCTCCACAATCATTCACAGATCACTGGCAGTGACCCATCTATCACATCCACCAGTTTTTTCAGAACCTTAGATGCAATTCATCTTGGCCCAATACTCTCCTTATTGATCTTGGGTATTAGTCAATTTAATTCTGTCTATTCCACTACATATATCACTTTCCTTGGTAGAGAAAACTGAAGCAAAATAAGCTGAGGAACTTTTGCCTTTTCTATCACCAGTCATCATTATCCTATATATCCAATGCAGTGGTCCTATCCCTACTTCAATAAAAACAAAAAAAACACTCATTATTGCTATTACTTTTCCTCGTCAGTCTCAGATCACTCTGATCTTTAATTCCCTTGATTTCATCCTTTATGTATCTTTAAGAAAAATTTAAGCTGTTAATCTGTGCATCTACATAGGCTTCTTTTTGGGGGGGTGTGAGGGGTGTGTGTGAGGTAATTGGGTTTAAGTGACTTGCCCAGGGTCACACAGCTAGTGAGTGTTATGTGTCTGAGGCCAGATCTTAGGTCCTCCTGAATCCAGGGCTGATGCTCTATCTACTGTGCCACCCTAGATGCCCCTAGGCTTCTTTTGACAGCTCCTTTTTTTCATTCTCATTTTCTTTCCCCATACTCTGTCAGAAATTCAAAGGACGAGGGGTCATTTCCACCAAAGCTGTCTCATTTTCACCCAAATTCTCTTTATTGGTAAGGGTCAGACCCAGTTCTCATTGATTCCTGTACCTCTTGAAGTTGTACTTACCATTAAGACAAGAAAAAAGTACAAGTTGCTCTATCTTTGGCTGACAAAAGTTCCAAGAGATGGAGGTACTATGGTATAGTGTAAGAGCACTGGATCTGGAGTCAGAGGACTTGGGTTCAAATTCTGCTTTGGATATTTATTGAGTAAACTTTAATAAGTCATAAACTCCATAGGTCTTAGTTCTCTCACTTGTAAAACGAGGCAGTTGAACAAGATAGCTTCTGTATTCTCTCTGTTCTAGCTCTAATGTAATACCTTATGTCCAAATAATTAAGTCCCCCATCACTATCATAAATAACCATACCAGGTTTGTGGTTTATTAAACTCTACTATCCACTTGTTCCTGTCCAGGTGATCTTTAGTGTACATTAATGACAATGTCATGTTTGGTTTTACCACCATTAATCTTTACCTATACTATACATTTCCTCTCTATTTCCTAGATTTCTTCACATGAGCTTAGCTTAACATACAAGGCTATATCTCCTCCCTCTGCTTCTACCTATTTTTTTTTCTTTATAAGAAAACACTTTCCAGAAGTATATTCCAGTCACGGAATTCTCATCACACCCAGTGTCAGTGATAGCTATGAAGTAAATTTTACCTCCCTACATTAGGATCTCTTTACTGCGTGCATTTGTATATAAACATCTGAAGCAATGAGTTTTACTGCTTGCTCAGGAGATTTTGTCTCCTGTGAATTTCTCAGCCTCATTAGATACAGCATCCTTTTTATATGGAAGATGCTTATCTCTCTGATCTCTAGTGAGTAGCTATACTGAGGTAGTTTTTTCACTCCTTTACTTTTTAGTTTTGAAAGACTAAGCCAAAAAATTTATGCCAGTCTTTCTTAGGTATACCTGTAATCTCCATATTTGAAGCCATTACTCAAATTTCTTTTAATGGTCCAAAATCCAAACTCCATTCTCAGAAATTGCAGACTTATCCAACTGTTCATCTCTCAAATTTGCCTTTTTCTTCAAAAGATCTCACCTTTGACCAGCAGAGTGATAAAAAGCAATACCCGTGCTCCTATGACATTTGCTTTCCTGGTCAACACTTAATAACAATGCTTTACAGCGTCCTTAGGGCAATATCATCTGTGTAGACACAAATCATCCGAGGTGGCTGGCGGTCATCAGGTTTCTACAAGGTTCGCGAGGTTCTCCACCATGTCCATGATAGATCTCTATTTCTATCTATAGCTGCCTCTAGGTTCATCTCTTCTTTCTCTTATCTTCAGAGGATCTCACCGGATGGTAACTTTGAATCTACTTCACTCTTCTTTGTAAAAGGGGCAGGTGCTCTCTCTTTGGGAAGAATCTCATATATATGGATCTTTCTATTTTCCTGTCACTGTTTTCATTCTCTAACCTACTGAGGTATAGGTCAGAATTTCCCCTTGCTCCCTCCAGATCTTTTTGTTTTTACAATGAAGTCATTTTTCCAGTTTTGGAAAGAATAATCTCCTCATTTCCAGGAAGGCAGAGGTGTTATGTGAACCCTGCACCATCTCTTCTAGAAAGTAAACAAACCTGACCCTTAAGCATAGATAACAGTTACTTGAATATGGTAAAAAAAAAAACAACTGTGCATTCTATGCAGGTTACTGGAAGCCTTCATGCTCTCCAGATTTCCTAAAAGCATGATCCTGAATCCTTTGTTTTTCTATTTGTTGTTATCAAAAAACGTGTTTTAGGATTTGTACTAGGAATCTAAGGTGTCGTAATGGTTCTAGCGGGTAGAAGCGTCTATTAGTTGATGGCAGTGGACGGGGTTACTTGCCAGATCGTTTGGGGCCACTATCACCAAGCCTTGTCTCCAATGCTAGGGTCTCTTAGCTCATTCCCTTCTAGAGACTACGGGGATTTAGTCAAGATTTGAGGGAAAGCATACTTCTTTTAATCATGATTCACAGAGGTCCACCTTTCTTCAGCTCTCCTTGCTCTCCTACCCCGACAAAGCATGCACACCAGAAATTTCTGCCTTCCTCTTCCCACTAGGACCAGCCTCATCTTCCACTTATAGCGTGTGCATGGACCAGAATTCTACCACTGCTTTTGTTTTAATCCCTCCACCACCACCCCAAGAGGAAAGTGTAGTCATTCTCACAGAGTATTTTCATAAGAATTCAATAAAGAGAACTGCATTAATTTTATTCCTCAAGCCACTGAAACTATTCATTTAGAATAAACAAATGAAAAGTAGCATTTTGGAGCTGAAAGGGACCATATAGCCTAATTCCCTCATTTTACAGATGAGGAAACTGAGGCCCAGGGAGGTAAAAGATCTTGCCCAAAGTTAGAGTGAGATGATGACACTCTTGGACTAATTCTAAGGTCTCTGGACTCATAGTCCAGGGCTCTCCACTAACCTATGTCTCCACCCCCAACCCCATCCCAGGTCCAAATGTGTTCAGGAAAGGAGATAATCAAATCTCTCCATGACTGCCCTATCTTATGCAAGGGTCTACTCAAGGACAGAGCAGATGACTAATGAATGTGTGTGGAATAGACAGACTCCAATTAAAGGGAGAAGCCCAGTCTTTTATGAAATTACTTTTGGGATTCTGAAGGCTCCTGTTCTTCCTCCCATTCTCTTGGTCACATGCATGCTTTTTTTTGCTCCTCTGATTCCTCTATAGTCTGCACATTAGCAAGAGAATACTGAGTCAATTCCATGTTTGTGGCAGGTAGGTAAAATGCCCCCTCCACTGGGTCACTGCATCATTCTCAGCTTTGTCCCTAGCTGCATAGGGTATCTCAGTATAGTGGAAAGAGCACATGTGGTCTGTTGACTAGTTGTTTCAACTTAGGTTAAGAGGACTCAGTTTCCCTTTCTGTAAAATGAGGTAAATGGACCATATCAGAGGTATCCAACCTATTAGCTAAGAAAACTTGGAAGTGCCAGGGAGCTACTGCAAAGGGTCTATAAATCTGTCAGTGCACCAAGTGTTATTTTTATTTTTATTGATCTCCAACAAAATATACACGACAGTATAAGTCAATACACCTTCCATAGACCGAATACTATAATGTCTCACTTGTATGAAGTGATGCAAAATGAAGGCCAAGAGAATACAAAAGACATGATTACAACAATCTAAATGAAAATGACCCAAAAAGACATCAGAATCAGCTTGCATACAACAGCCAGTCTTAGTTGCAGACGACTGGTGAGAATACTTACCTCTTTTCTCAATAGAAAGACAATGGACTACAGATGTAGAATGCTGAAAATGCTGTCAAACATAATCACCAGATAGGTTGGTTTTACCTGTTTCTCTTTGTTATAAGGGAGAGTTCCGTGGCAAGGAGGGATTTTATTGGGAAAGCGACTATGTTTTAAATAACAAAAAGCATCAACAAAACATTATCATAATGTTTTGTACATATATTACTAATTTTCAAACTTAAATAGATAATACAGAGATGAATAAAATAAAAATTCACAATATAGTTCACATATCCACAAATCTCAATCCTCTTTGCTGAGTGGGAACACGTATTTAAAGCAGTGGCCAGTATACTCACATTCGGCTCACTCCGCGCTTCAAGAGTTTCCTCCTCCTCTTCTTCTTCTATCTGCAGCCTCAACACATTCAACTCTTTCCCTGTGGATTCTTCTCTTTTGGCTTTTTTACACCTGCAAGCTTCCATGTCACTCTGCAACTGGTGCAGCTGAAGCAGGACAATGTCATGCCCTGGGCCAGAACACATGGAGGCACCACATGATTCCTTTTATTTCTCTTTAAAATGCTGAAAACAGACCCAGTAGTAATTTTCTGGCACTGTACTTCCCAGACTCATTTGTCCACAGAATGTTTTTAGGTTTGCTATATAAGGAAAAAACCACCTATTCTAGGCAACATGGGTCTGAATTATAGAATATCCTGTGGATAAAAGAGTGGGGGCAATCCTGAAGCAAAATGCGCGAAACCTGTATCTATTTTTATATGGAAAAATTTGCTGCATGAAGCAAGTATTTTTGATAAACAACTTCGTACCTAGTATTTCTGTTGATGGCATTGCTTTCCTCCCTAGCACCCAAGCTCAAAACCTAGGAGGCAGTTCTAGACCCTTCTACCTCACCAATGTCTTTTGTATCTGTTCCCTTTTTCGCCATTCCCAGAGCTACCACCTTAGTCCAGGCCCTCATTACCATCCATCTATACTTTCATAATAACCTCCCGAAGTGGTTCCCCTACACTGTACTACTAGCCCCATCATCTCTGTGTATTTGTTTGGCCAGTTCCCCATGACTGGTTGTCCATTCAGAATTTTCCTTTTCCTCTTAGGCTCAGTTCATTTTCTAAAGCTTTACTTGATACCCTTCACTAAAATTATTTTCTTTCTCTACAAAGAACTTTGGATCCCTCCTGTCTCTAATGTCATTCTATCTTATATTACACATACACATTATTTCCTCACTGCAGAATATAAACCTCTTTAAGCCAGAATCTGTGAACTGTTAAAATTCTTTCTATCCCTAGTATCTTGCATATGAGGTAGCATTTAAGAAATGCTTTTTAATTTAACTAAGAAAGAAATATTGCTGTTACTGAAGTTCCAAACTCTTCTGCCCAGCACCCAAGGTCGCTTGGTCAATGTCTGGTGCCTCTCCACCTGTCTAGCATTATTTCATGTGACCCACACTCAATACTCTAGCCATAGCAGAAGACTCACTGATGCCTGCATTCTTCTGACTCTACTTCTGTTCATACTGCTCCTTATGCTAAGACTGCCTTTCTTCCCCTTCCCTTTTTTGCTACTGAGTTCATACACCTTTAAAAGTTCAAATCAGATACCAATGCCTCGGGAAGGCATTGCCTGATTTTTCTGTCAATAACAACATATTTCTTCAGAATTCACACTATATTTAGTTTTGCAACCACTAAAGCATTTATCATGTATAACTGTTTATTATAGATTCTGCGCTGGTGACTTAAAACTCCTACTGGGCTAGCAGCTCCAGGAGGACAGGAATCATATCATAGATAAACTTCAGCTCTGCCTAAAAGCCAGTGCATAGCACAATACTCTATATGGTCTTTCTAGATGCTCTGTTAAATGTCTATTGTATTCTATTTTACCACAAAATCTCTATTCACATCTCATGGAATGCCAGAGGCTCCAATATAATTTGAGAAATGCAGGTTTTGGTCCCTTCCTACTTTCAGGACACAGACTGAGATATTAACTATAGTATTTATCCAGAGCAATTTTAGGAATTATTTCCTAATTGAATTTAGGCCTCCAGAAGGAAGGAACCTGGGCCTAAGCACTTTGTACAGATCTGTATTTCAATGTTGTCCTAACAAAAGAACAATCGCTTAGAAGAGCACTGATCAGGCATAAAGGATAGAGCTGGTTGGTCCAACCTTTCTTCAGCTGGTCAATTTCTTCTTCTTTTTGGAGAAGAGCTTCGGTTTTCTCATTGAGAAACTGTTCCTTCTCCTTTATTAATGTTGTTAGGTCAGCAACCTTGGTGAAGAAAAAACCAACATGTGTCAACAGTAGTTACTCCTACACTGAACCACCACTCTACAATTTACCACTGTTACTATCCCAAAATATCCTCAGAAACTTCAGTGATAAGTTCGTTCCTGAAAACCCGATGAACCATTCCTCTTTCAACCATGGTTCTGTGGAAATTATTTTTCACTGTCACTCTGGCCAACAGAGAAAATCTGGCCAAATCTCTCAGCAGGGCCCTGTCTAAAAAGTGGCTATAAACAGGTACTCAAACTAAGACACTAATAATCCTAGCTTGAATTTCAGGGCATTAGTCTGCAGGAATCCATTTCTCAAAGGCTCAATAATTCAGAAATCAACAGGCAACTGGGTGTGGTAATATTTATAAGACAATCAACCCTCTGATAAGGAACCCTCCAATAAGAGCACAGGCCATATGTGGAAATGACATGGTGATCGTTGGGCAGTAATATGAGTATTGACCCCAAATGAAGCATTCCCTTCAATGCCTCATCAAGGCATGGTGGTGATTCTATGTTCTTGAAAGCGATGCAAGTACAGAATAACTTAGGGTAACTCCTAATATACTGGAAAGGCTTCAATCAAGAACAGGCCTTGGCTATTAGATGGTAATGAATTTTTTGGGCAACAGCATTCCATGAAACCATCTACTAGGAGGGGCTGAACTGCATCAATGAATGGAAGTAGTGGAACCTACAAAGTCTTAGTTCTTGTAGGATACTGCAATAATGTTCACTGAAGTATAATCTCCTTTGGTGAATAAATTAGATAAGTAGGTTATAGCATTTTTGTGACCTTCTTCCATATCCCTCTAACTCTGAGATAAGTAGCAAATAAATAATGAAGCATAAATATTCAGTGGAGTCAATTCCTATAAGCTAAAAATTTCTTTATTAGTCATCTAAATTTCTGACAAAATGCTGCCAGGCTCTTTATCATACGAATGCTAAGGTAAAAGCAGTGACCTTAATAAGTAGTCACAACTGGACAAACCTGCTGTTGAAAATCTTCCCTTTGTTTCCGGGTTTCTTCCAGTGCCTTGGCAATTTCCACATTAACAGTTTCTCTCTGGCTCCATTCTTCCTACAAACCAAGATACACTCATGAGATTTTAATGATAAAATTCTAGTTCATATCCTTTTGATCATAACATATCAAATTACTATTAAACATAGCAACATAAGAAATGCTGGGGCAGCTAGGTGGCACAGTGGATAGAGCACTGGCCCTGAAATCAGGAGGACCTGAGTTCAAATCCGGACTCAGACCAAGCACTTGACACGTACTAGCTGTGTGACCTTGGGCAAGTCACTTAATCCCGACTGCCTCACTTAAAAAAAAAAAAAAAGGAAATGCTGCACTGAGTGAGACCAATAGATCATATTGGTGTAGTAGAAAAAAAAACCCAACGGATTTTGAGTCAGAGAAGCAGAGTTGGATACTAATATGACCTTCAGCAAAACATTTCCTTTTGTAGACCTCAGTTTTCTGTCTGTAAAATGAAGGGATTGGACTAAATAATCTCTAGGGTCCCTATCTCTAAATCCTATAATCCCGTGACCTATCACTAAGAGAGGTACTAAGGAACCTTCTACAATGAAAGTAATTTTCCTTAAACACAGATCTAACCATGTGACTCTCCTACTGAATCAATTCCAGTGGCTCCTTATTACAGCTAGGATAAAATATAAACTTTCCTATTTAGCTTTTAAAGCCTACCCAACCTGGCCCTAAGCTATCCTTTCAGCCTCATTGGGCATCACTTCCTCTAGCACTTTGCAATCCCAACAAGCTGGCTTCCTCTCAGTTCCCTGCACATGACACTCCATCTCCCATTTCTGTGCCTTTGCATAGGCCATCCCACCTACCAAGAATACCTTCCCTCTTTACCCTGGTACCAGAGTCCCTTTCTTCCTTTATGCTGCAGCTCAAGCACCATCTCTTGCAGAATGCTTAACAAACACCAAATTTCCCTACTATAGTACACTGTGGAACAGGAGGGAATTGGACATGAAACTGCAAATCTCTTATATAAACTCAATAAATACAAATTATACAAAGTACAGGAGGGAAGGCAGTAATAGTTGAGACAGAGGCAGTCACGTTCAAGGCATGTGGTACAGCCAGTACAAAGGCACTAAGATGGACAAGAGTGTTGCGTATGTGGAACGATCAAGAGGTTAGTTTGGTCCTTGCTTGTCCTTTTAAATATATGATAAATTTAACATGTAAAATTTCCAAAACTGATTCCTTCTGGCCTTTTATGTTTGTTTGGGAAAACTATCTCCACCCCTTCTCTTCCTCTTTTGCCTCCTCCTCCCTCAATTAATAAATAAAAATTAAACCTTTTTGACAAATCTGAATTGTCAAAAATACCACATTCCCACATTGGTCATGTCCAAAAATGCATGTCTCATTCTGCACCTTGAATTCATTATCTCTAGTCAGTAGATGGGTAGCATTCATCATTGGTACTGTGATATTGTTGGTCCAAATGCCTACAATGCACTTTTTCTTTTTACCTCTCACCTCACAGAGTCCTTCTCTTCCTTTAAGATAAGATCATTAAACTGATGAGAGTTAAGTCTTTCAAAATTAGTTTTCATTACATTGTTGCCACTGTTCAAACTATTCTATCGGTTCTGCTCACTTCAATCTGTATCAGTTAATATAAGACTTCTCAGGCATCTCTGAAATCAACCCTTTCCTGATTTTTTTTTTTGCTTTTTGGTGAGGCAATCAGGGTTAAGTGACTTGCCTAGGGTCACACTGTTAGTAAGTGTCAAGTGTCTGAGGTGGGATTTGAACTCAGGTCCTCCTGACTCCAAGGCCAGAGCTCTATTCACTGTGCCACCTAGCTACCCTCCCTTTCCTGATTTCTTATGAAGCAATACTATTCAATTATATCCATATACCATAATTTATTCAGTCATTTTTCAAAAGATGGGTTCCCCATTACTCAAACAGTTCCTTGCCAGTACTCAAAGAGCTTCCAGAAATAGTCTCGTGCATATGGTTTTCCTCCCTTTGCTCTCTCTGAAATATAGGCCTAGTAGTGATATCACTGGGTCAAAGTATGCAAGTTGAGTCAATAAGCATTTATCAAGTGCTTACTCTGTACCTGGAATTGTGCTATGTACAGTTTAGTAACTTTTGGAGCATAGTTCTGAATTGATTTCCAGAATGGTTAGACCAATTCACAGTTTCACCAACAATGAATTAATGTGTCTGTTTTCCCATGCATGACCCAAATATTGTCATATTTGCCAATCTGATAGGATTTAAGGTAGAAGTTTCAACTTGTTTCAATTTACTTTTCTGTAACTATTAATGATTTGGAACACTTTTCTTTTAATAAAACTGTTAATAACTTGGATTTCTTCCTTTGAAAACTGTCTGACCATTTACCTATGGTCAAAGAGAAAGAGAGAATGGGTCTTCTTAAAAATTTGAATGAGTTCCTAATACATCTTGGAGAACTTGCTGCAGAGGATTTTTCTTGGTTGCCAATTTCCCTTCTAATTTTAATTACACTGGTTTTGTTTGTGTAAAACATTTATCTGTGATCCTCTCTATCCCTTGTTTGGTCATGAACTCTGCCCTATCCACTGATCCAAAAGTAATTTCTTCCTTCTTTCTTTAATTTGTTTAAGATGTCACCTTTCGTGTCTAAGTCATGTATCCATCTAGAGTTTCTCTTGTTAAATGGTGTGAGTTAGTGGTTTACACCTAATTTCTGCCAGACTGTTTTCTAGTTTTTTCAGCCGTTTTTGTCCAATAGCAAGTCCTCTCCTCAAGAGTTGGGGTCGTTTTTGCCAAATCCCTCATGATGAGGAAAATCAAGTGCAGAGAAGTTAAATGATTTGCCCAGTGTCACACAAGTGTCACACAGAGCTGAGATTCAAGCCTAGGACCTGACTACAAATCTAGTGTTCTTTTCCACTGTACCTTCCACCCAGGACATTGTAGGATAAACGTTTTCCTCATAAGCAAGACAGCAGCACCAACTCATTTGATCAAATAAGAAGGAATAAAAAATTTACCAGTCCCATTAAGTTTAGCTTTGTGATTCAAGTTAACTTGCAGCTCAATGACTCCAAAGCCCAGGAATGATCAATGACTACAAATCCATGTAAAATTTGGATTCAGTCAAAAGGCTGCACTTAAGGATCTACAAGGACACATGTGACCTCAAGGTTGCAGGTCCCTCACCCCTGCTCTAGAGCCTACACTACTTGCTTTTTTGTAGAATCACAAATCAGAACTGGAAGGGGCCTTAGACCAAAGGATGTTAGATAGACAGGACTTTAAAACACAACACGTTAGAACATAAAACAAACTGTTAGAAACATAGAGACAACCCAATTTAACTTCTTCATTTTATCAATGAAGAGATTGAGGCTGAAATGATTTGCTCGGGGTCACAGAAGTAATTGTAAGTACTTGAACCACTGTCCTGTGATTCCAAGCCCAGGGCTCTTTCTGCCACACCATGCTGATAACCTTTCAAAAGGATTCACATTGCCAGAAGCACACTCCTTTAACTTTGTAAATACCTTCAATTTCTTCAACTCAAGCTTATGGGCTTCTAAAGAACTTTCATATTCATTTCTATTTTCTTTAAGGTTTGCATTTTCTTCTTCGAGCAGTTGCTGAAAATTAGAAAGAACAGGTATTAAAAGAAAAAACTTTTAAATGGCTACATTGTTCATCTGCACAATACTGAAGTTACTAGTTTTTTAAATAGGGGGACCTTCAAACCAGTACTTTGCAAAAGAAGTCACTATAGGATTACCTCTAAGATACAGTGGATTGAGGAAGGTAAAGAGCAAAGAAAAGGAACACTCCTAATTATGAAAAGTAAACAGTTGGGAGATGAGTTCAAGAAAAGAAGGGAATAAGGAGCAAAACCAAGGTGGAGAGGGGAAAAAGAGTAAAGAACCAATACATTTCGGCCATGAAGAGAAAGGAAATTTATGTATTACAATATGAAACCTTTTAAAACTCTCTCTCCAAAAAATTTACAAACTGCTACTTAAAACGTTGCAACTCAGAGAATGACTTTCCTCACCTCCATGGAAACAATGACAAAAGCTACATTTTGTTTGTCCTTGGTATATTCAGCTTCTTGGACTTAAAGGCAGGACCTCTGTGACCATAACATCCTTGTGTCAAACACTTTACTTACTATCTGGTGGCTTGCTGCTGCTTTGTCAGACTCTCGAGCTTTCTCAAGGGCAGCTATTTCAGCCTCCAGTCGGTTCCCCTGCTCTGCATACTGCTGCTCCAGGACCAAGACGTGCTGTTGCAATTTGCTGCTTTCTTCCGCCAAAGTGGACTGCTCAAAACCCCCAAAAACAATTTTTTATCATCTAGTTAATAAGCTGTTAGTAGCTGTGCAGCAATTTAAAGATTTGCAAAGTAATTTTACCTATGAAGCAGGTACTACAGCTATTATTTCCATTTTACAGATCAGGAAACTGAGGCTCAGAGAGACTGACTTTCCCATGGCCACAGAGATAGCCAATGTCAAAGGCAGGATTCAAACCCATGTCTCCTTGGACAGTAAACCTGTAGCTGTTTCTTTTAGATTATGCCACTTCTCTTCAAATCAAGTTCAGGGAAGCCCTCCTCACGGCATGCAGGGGACTCTGGGTACTTTAAGGCTAGAGTGTCCAGAATATGTCTGGTAACAGGTTGGTATTGCTGCCATCTTCAGATCAGTTTTGCTGATTGGCAGAGAAGCTCATCATCCTGAGATGAATTTTTTTGGTCACAGAAACTTACATGGGGATTGCCTATTAATGTGTAGAGAGGTTCTGATCTTTGTCAGTAGAAGGAACCCCCACTCTAATGAAATGACAGGTCTTTTGAAGCTTGAATAAATATTTAACAAAAAGAATTTTTAAAGGGATCCTTCCACAAGCCTTGAGTTACTGAAGATCTAGTCTCTCTATAGAGATAAGTTGTCATCACACTCACCCAGTCAAACCTAATACTTCTTGCCACCTCTCAAAAAAAACAAAACAAAACCAAACCCATAAAGACAAATCTATGAATTACGGAAAATCTGAGTGTGTGTCAAATGACAGGCACAGCTACAGAATAAGGTTAGGGCATGATGCTTCCTAACTGATTCAAACCAGAAAGTCCACCCCCTGAGACACATCAAATCCCCTTCCTACCAGCAAATGAAATCAACAAAGAACACTTACAAGCCTCTGAATCTGTGCTTCTTTTTCAATCATTATTTCACTGCTCTTCTTGAGCTTCTCATCTGAAATCTGCAGCATTTCCTCAAGTTCTTTTACCTAAATGGGGAAAGAAAAGAAATACTCTTCCCTATTCAACAAATGCAGACACCATTAAGAGAAGAATGCCAGTTCACAGGCTTTACTTTCACCTGACTAAGGCTGCTTTCTCTTAATCCTTTTATAAAATCTTCTTTCTCACGAAGTAATGCATGGCTGCCAGTTACTTGACTATTCAGTTTTGTGATCTAGAAATAAAACAAGAAGAAATATTTTCTGTTCAGAGAAGTAGAGGATGGAGAACTTCAAGCATGGCAGCTATTCCCACTAAAAGGAGGATCCCTCCAAGTGACTGGCATGTACACAGCTGATACAGTAAGACTCTTTCTCAGAGGTGAAGCCAGTAATGCTGAATCTGCTACCTACTAACTGTGTTATAATGGGCACACTACTTCCCCTCTTTGGGCCTCAGTTTCTTGATCTGTTAAATGTGGCTGTTTTACTAGACTGATCACTAAGGTCCCTTTAAGCCTGAAGGGACCAGATGGT